TTTCTTGATATAAGCACAACCAATGGACATAAAACTCTGGGGAGGGAGGGGATGTGTGAGAGAGAGGGAGGGGGTAAAAAAAAAATCAATAAAATATGTAAAAAATAAATAAATAAAAATAAAAAAATAAAAAAAAATGCTCAGCAAAGTGAGAATAGAAGGATCATATCTCAACATAATAAAAGCCTTATATGACAAACCTACAGCCAAAATCATACTCAACAGGCAAAAACTAAAACCATTTCCACTAACAGGAACAAGACAGGGATGCCCACTTTTACCACTCCTGTTCAACATAGTACTGGAAGAGCTAGCCACAGCAATCAGAGAAAAAGAAGAAATAAAAGGCATCCAAATTGGAAAAGAGTGCAATTGTCATTATTCGCAGATGAGATGATACTGTACATAGAAAACCCTAAAGACTCCATCAAAAAATTATTATCCTTAATAAGTGAATTTGGCAATATAGCAGGATACAAAATTAACGCCAAAAAATCTATGGCATTTCTATACACCAACAGTGAACTTACAGAAAGAGAGGCTAAGAAAACAATCCCATTTACCATCATACCAAAAAAATTAAGTACCTAGCAATAAACTTAAGTAAGGAGGCAAAAGACCTCCTTAGTTAAATTAAGGAAGACATAAATAGATGGAAGAACACACCATGTTCATGGACTGGTAGAATCACCATCATTAAAATGTCCATACTACCCAAACAATCTATATATTCAATGCACTCTTCATTAAAATACCAATGGCATATTTCACTGAACTAGAACAAAATCTTCAAAAATTCATCTGGAATAAATTTTAAAAAGACCTCCAATAGCTGCAGCAATCCTGAGAACCAGATATCAAGCTGTATTCCATAGCCACTGTTCTCAAAACAGCATGGTACTGGTATAAGAACAGATATATAGACCTATGTAACAGAATAGAGAGCCCAGAAATCGACCCAAATCACTATGCTCAATTAATATTTGATAAAGGAGGCAAGAGGATACAATGCAGTCAAGACGATCTTTTCAATAAATGGTGTTGGGATAATTGGACAGATACATGCAAAATAATGAAACTAGACCACCAACTTACACCATACACAAAAAGAAACTCAAAATGGATAAAGGACTTAAATGTAAGATGGGAAACCATAAAAATACTAGAGGAATACACAGGCGCCAAAATCTCAGACATATGCCAAAGCAATTTCTTCACTGATACTAATTCCTAGAGCAATAGAAGCTAAAGAGAAAATAAACAAATGGAACTACATCAAAATAAAAAGCTCCTGCACAGCAAAAGAAACCATCAACAAAACAACAAGAAAGCCCACTGCATGGGAAAACATATTTGCCAATGTTATCTCCAATAAGGGTTTAATCTCCAACATTTATAGGGTATTCATACAACTTAACAAAAGGAAGATAAACAACCCAATCAAAAAATGGGCAACAGACCTAAATAGATACTTTTCAAAAGAGTACATAAGGAATACCAAAAGTCATCTGAAAACATGCTCAAAGTCACTACTCACTGAGAGATGCAAATCAAAACGACAATGAGGTACCATCTCACACCTGTCAGAATGGCTATAATCAACAAATAAGCAAACTGCAAGTACTGGCAAGGATGAGGAGAAAAAGGAACCCTCTTGCACTGCTGGTGGGAATGCAGACTGGTGCAACCACTGTGGAGAACAGTATGGGGTTTCCTCAAAAAACTAAAAATGGAACTCCCATTTGACCCAGTGATCCCACTTCTAAGAATATATCCCAAGAAACTAGAAATAGGAATCAAAAAGGATATATGCACCCCTATGTTCATAGCTGCACAATTCACCATAGCTAAGATTTGGAAACAGCCTAAATGCCCATCAGCAGATGAGTGGGTTAGAAAATTGTGGTACATCTACAATGGAATACTATGCTGCTTTAAAAAAGAAGGAATTCTTATCATTTGCAGCAGCATGGATGGAACTGGAAAGCATTATGCTAAGTGAAATAAGCCAGTCAGTGAAAGAAAAATACCACATGATCTCACTCATTAATGGATAATAAAGAACATTATAACCTGATGAACAAAAAGACAGATAAAGAAGCAGAAAAGCATAGAACAGACTGTCAAATTACAGTGGGAAGGCGGGGGAGGTAAGAGATCAACCACAGGACTTGTATACATGCATATAAGTATAATCAATGAACACAAGACACGGGGTGGGGGAGTGAGGAGTGGGATAGAAGGGCAATGGGGAGATATGGACACATGTAATACCTTAATCAATAAAAAAATTTTGGAAAAAATAAACACCTCAAATAGCGATGACTAACATTTATTGAGCACGTATTATATCCCAGATACTGAGACGAAGGCTTTACTAGTACATGTACTATCTCATTTTATTTTCACAATAGTCTTGAGATTTAGAGGAGATAAATCCTGTTCACACAAACTGTAAGTGATAGAATGAGAATTTGAGTCTAGGGACATCTGATTGCTAAGCCCACATCCTTACACAACATCCAAATGGAGTATCCATTACACTTCCTTTGCCTCATAAAAGAATGTCAGCCCTCTCCTGAAGCACACCACTTCTTTACCAAAGAAAATTTTCACCACATCCCCCAAGCCACAATCAAAGTCACACCAATTATGTCCCCTAATACTCCAAATGAATGGCCAGCCATTAATTCTTCCATTTTAGGTACATGATGCCTCTCAGTCATTAAATTTATTGAACCAATTTTACCTTACAGCCATTTAATTCCAATTGAAACAATTATTATTTAAAAAACAGGTTATTTTTATGTTTGTTTCAGAGCTTTATTTCACATTTATGCTAATATCAATATTTCAAAGCTATTTTTTATGACTTAAGCTCTTCTGGCCCCATGTACTACACAATAACATAATGAAATATGTGCCAGCTCATCAGAGAGTTGGCGTTTGATAGGAGAACACCAATGCATCTAAGAGCCATGGCTTATATTATGGAAATCAAATGACCTTCCTAGTGGGAATACCTCAATGCAAAACAGGTTTCATTTTACATAAGGTGGACTTATCAAATATTTGATCAAGTCATTTTATAACATGTTCTAGACCTCAGTTTCCCTATCTATAAAAGTAAGGAAAATAATTTTACTTTCTTAAGAGTGATTAGCAGCATTCAGTAAGATTATTCTTGTTAATTACATTGCACAATGCCTAGCACACAGTAAGTGCTCAATAAAAGGTAGCTACTTTTAAAAATTGTAATCTGTGAGTGACACAATCTGAATGAATGAAGGTCTCAGTAAACCAATGTGTTCAATTACCAAACAACTTCCCAACAATCAAAGAATAAAGAAGAAAACAGTCACTTCTATACTGACTGGAAAGATGATGTAATATAGCCAATTCTAAATCCAGACACTTTATAAAAGCTGGATGGCTCTAAATCTGATGTCTTATCTTGATTCAGCATAATCGATGTCATTACTAACCAGTATGGACATTTTATTAGCCTTTGGTATTTAATTCCCTATGTTATTATTCTCATTTTTTGCTAATTTATCTATTTATTTTATATTCAATATTACTTTATCTGAGAGGCCTAGTGCACAAAATTCATGCACGGGCTGTAGGGTTGTGTCCCCCAGCCCAGCCTGCACCCTCTCTAATCTAGGACCCCCTCAAGGGATGTCCGACAGCCCATTTAGTCCTGACCTCTCTCTCACAATCCAGGAATGCTGGCTCCCAACCACTTGTTTTCCTATATTCCCTATGCCTGATTGTCCCTAACTGCTTCTGCCTACCAGCTTGATCACATCCTAATTACTCCCCTGACAGCCTGATCAATGCCTAACTGCTCCCCTGCCAGCACGCTTACCCCTAACTTCCCTCCCCTACTGGCCTGATGACCCCCAACTGCCCTACCCTGCTGGCTGGATCACCCCTAACTTCCCTCTCTTGCCACCCTGGTTACCCTTAACTGCCCTCCCCTGCAGGCCTGGTCGCTCCCAACTGCCCTCCCCTGCAGGCCTGCTTGCTCCTAACTGTCCTCCCCTGTAGGCCTAGTCCCCCCAACTGCCCTCACCTTCTGGCCATCTTGTGGTGGCCATATGTGTCCACATGGGTGTGGTCATCTTGAGTATTGGAGTGATGGTCAATTTGCATATTACCTCTTTATTATACATGATCCGTTTCAGATGTACAACATAGATGTTAGACAATCATATATTTTACAAAGTGTTCCCCTAATATTTCCAGATCCACCTGGCACTATACATAGCACAATATTACTGACTATATTCCCTATGCTGTATTTTGTATTCCATAACTTCTGTAACTACCAATTTGCACTTCTTAAAACTTCACATTTTCACCCAGTCCCCCAATACCCTTTCCTTCTGGCAATCATCAGCCTGTTTTCTGTATCCATGAGTCTGTTTCTGTTTTGTTTGTTCATTTATATTGTTCTTTAGATTCCACATATAAGTGAAATCATTCTTCAGTTGTCTTCAGTAGTGGTTTCAAGTCAGGAACATTAACTAGGATTTTTTTTTTCCATTTTCTGCCCCCATCCCACCCCCCATTTTTCTGCAATGGTATAAAGTAGTCAGGGGAGCACCACCTTTGATCTTCTATTCTCCACTGGGAGACATTTATGCAAGGCACAGGCAACAAAATAACTTCTAACAATCATTACCACAGACATTTGACAAAATAGCCTTAATTTTTAAGCCATGAAACTCAATTGAGTCAGGGTGGGTTTTCAGAAACACACCTGCTTTAAGCATTTATTCCTTCAAGCTTTATCTTGCATCCTTTCCAGTTGCTAATGCAGGACACCACTAGTTTTATTAATAAAAATCTCCAAAATAGCTGAGATAAATCCAACATTTCACTATCAGGCATTTGCAGCTAACCCAAATCTTGATCTTTGAGGAAAAAAGCAGCAGTCTTCCACTGTTAATAATACCCACTTCGAGGAGAATACCCTTTTAAAATATGCTTACTGTGATTTTCCAAGTGCATTTGCTATTTGGAGGGTACACTCCAGGAAAACCTTCGCTGCCAATAAATCCAGACTCTCCAATAAGAACACCACCACATGTGAAAACAGTTCTATGAAATAAAAGAGAAACAATCTGAAATATGTCAACTTCAGAATGTATAGTCTAGAAATATGGATAAAGTTAATATGGATTAATAAATGCCTGTATCATATAAGGGATTCGAGAGCTTACTAGCTTTCAGAATATACCCCGATAAAACATTCCATCCAACTGCCACCTGTCTCCATCATAATAACACAAGCTCGATAGTTCTGTTATCCATCCATCCATCCGTCCATCCATTCTTCCATCCATCCTTCCGACCATCCATCTATCCATATGAAACCAAGTTTTCTAAGCAGTGGTAAAATGTTATAGGAAAATAGTAAGTGGAAAATTTAAAAAGGGGGAGTGAGAGAGAGAAGATGAAAACTAGGCCAAGTGATGTGCATGGTTTAGAGATAGACAAGCAACTGGTTAATATAAAAAAGTTTCTCATCCCCTTTTCTGAAAATCTTTGGGCATTGGCAGATCCCACCATTAAAAAGGTAGGTTGATGGAGGAGGTGACAAAGTTGCCAGGAGTGAGTCCCTCGGCCCAGGTGCTGGAGCCGCTCAGAGGTTAAGTTTCAGGAAGCCGGAGCGGCTCGGCTCGTTCGCAGGGCAGCAGGGCACCATGCAATTCAAGTTTCCCCCTATGTTTGTTTTACTCTCCAGGGAAAAACAGAAATAAGCCTAAATCCACAGATTTGCTTCCATGCGGGAGGGAAGACGCTGGACGGATGACGCCTTCGCTACGTGGTGGCCGGGCCAGCGGCGGCCAGGGAGCCCCGCGACTAGACCCGGGCCTGGGGCCTGGGGCTTGGGGCCAGCCCAAGGCTGGGTCCCAGGGCGTCCAGAGCAAACTGAGGAGAAATGGGCCCGAGGCTGCTGGGACAGAGCGAGGGAGGAAAGAGGAAGAGGGCGGGGCGCGTTACCTCTCCGGGTGCTGCTGACCCGACTGCTGGGCCGCCAGCAGCAGGCCGAGCACAACCCAGGGGCCTGCGCCGCTCATGGTCGGTGGAGACTCCCGGGCCGCCCGCCAAGAACTCGCCGGCTGCGCCCCTGGCGTGCACACAAGACACCCTGTGCGCGCTCCTACGCACGCGCGCGGTCGCGGGGCAGCCCAGGTATGCGCGGCTGGAGGGGTCCTGAAGCATTTAACGGCGATTACGGTGCAGCCTGACTCCACGATTTCCTTCCCCAAGGAGTTGCTGACAGCCACTGGCCACTGCTGAACGTCCGGTTTGTTCTCTGAGGCGGGACGGGCGGCTCCCATGCCTCAGCCGCCTCCTCTCTAGGTGGGGCGGGCGAGCGTCTCCTCCCCCCGCACCGGGATCCGCAGCCCTATCTCATCCCGCCTGCAGGCCTGTGGGGAGATGAAAAGAGACCCCCTCCTTCGCCCACCTCCGCTCATTGGTGCCCAAGCGCGACCTGGCTCAGTAATCCACAAATGATCAGAGTCCGGTGATGTTTTTCACTAGCTACTTTTTAAAAAAAGTATTCCTGCCTGCTGGAAAATCTGAGGTTCCTTCTTTATTTGTCTCCTTCAAACAGCCCACATCTAAGGCAAGAAAGGGGGAAATAGAAGAGGGATTCTATCATATTTTAACTCTTTTCTGCTTTACTGGTGTATAAGTGCTTCCTGATAACTAGGGACTAATAAAAGAAAAACAAAAAGAGAATGGGTTTATTGATATTTTCAACACTGATACCACTACAAGAGGGATATGGCTGAATCTACTGTGTTTCCCCGAAAATAAGACATCCTCCGAAAATAAGACCTACTTACAGGTTTCCTTCTGAGTGAAATATAAGGCATCCCCCAAAAATAAGCTCCCCCTCCCCAAGCTAAACATGAGAGATTTGGCCCACTGATTCTGAAAGAAATGGAGTCACAAGAAATTCACCAGGGAATTCAGGAATTGGATTGTTATGATGATGTTCCAGAAGATGATGACATGATTTTCATTGAATAAATGAGTAAATTCTTGATACTGTAGGATTCACAGTTTGTCTGGTTTGTGTTGACAACTACTGTACTACCGTACCGTATACAGGTAATAAATTTCCTTTATTTTCATTTAACAATAAATGTGTACCGTATTCTTCTTCATGGAAAAATAAATCATCCCCTGAAAATAAGACCTAGCTTATCTTTGGGAGCAAAAATTAATATAAGACACTGTCTTATTTTTGGGGAAACAGGGTAGATGTTTCATTTGGGTTGTTCATCTTTCTAAGTAAAAATTAAATAAGTAAGTAAATAAATAAATAAATAAATAAAAGCATTATGTTAATACTTATCAAGACTCCATTTCTAATAATGAGATATAATATTAAGAACATAAACACTCCTGGCAATGAATAAATAAAAACTAGATTCAGGGAATGACTTGACATTTAATAGTGAAGAAACCCAGCAACTAATAATAGGAACCAGAATTTCCTTGTGGAGTTTACATTATTTTACTATTTTTGAAATAGAGAAGGAAAGGAACAACAAGAACTGCAACTTTTAATTTTTTTCTAAAGGCACCATACCCTGTATGACATTTTTAAAAGGTGGAATTACAGAATTTGGCAAACTACTTTATATCCTAAAATATACTTCCTCAACCCAATAAAAATTGCTTTAAAACAGCAGAGAAAAATAAATGTTTATTTTGCACTCATTTCAAGAATATGCTGTTCAATGGCAATAGTGTTTTATATATTTTATTAAAAATCATATTTTAAATTACAAAATAAAAATATTGCTCAGTTCACTTTCTGGTAATGATTTGAAATGATCATAGTAAGAAAATACTTCATTCTTAGGAGTAAGCTAAGTTTTCAAAATTAAAGGACAAAATACTAAACATGTGTAAATGGTTAGAAAACCATTTGAGCATAAATATGCAACAGCATTTTTTCTTTTTAAAATATTTAAAATTTTTTACTTTAGAGAGAGAAGGGAAAGAGAGAGAGAAAGAAACATCAAACCCACAACCTGTGTATGTGCCCTGATAGGGAATACAGCCTGCCATCTTTTGGGGTGCCGGACAACACTCCAACCAAATAAGCCACGACTGTGTCCATGTCCTCACTAAAGAGTTAGGGTTCCAGCACTGATGGTCCTGTTCTTGAGACACATAGGTGTCGCCATGTGATATTAAAAGTTTACTAAAACCCATATTATTTGGTCTTACAAACATACATTTGACTTGGAACTATAGTTCTGAACAAAATTAATAAACTTTAAATGTGCTGAGAAGCTTAATGTATTATATTAAAATTGAGACAGACCCAAGTGGACTCTGAAAGTATGTTTAAAGTCCACTTCTGTGAGACCAATTATTGGGCTTTAGCCAAGTAGAATTGATATGGGCCAGGAGCCACAGAACTTCAGGCAGTAGCAAAAGGGTGAGGTAGAGGGGGCAAAAACCCTGTGGGTGGATTCTCCAAAGAAAAGTAATGTGATAGGTGGAATGATCCTTGTGATCCAAAGTATATATTACCCAATTCTCCAATTCCCCTTTCCTCTGGCAACTACTTGAGGCAAAGATACTGGTATTCTGTGTCTATGTATGTTTCAATTTTGTTTGTTCGTTTATTTTTTTCTATGGATTCCACACATCAGTGAAATCATATGATATTTGTCTTTCTCTAACTGATTTCACTTAGATTAATACCCTCTAGGTCCATCCATGTGCTGTTGCAAATGGTAAGATTTCATCCTCTTTTTGGCTGAGTAATATTCTATTCTATATATGTATCACAGGTTTGTTTGTTTGGTTTTTGTTTGTTTTTATCCAGTCATCTATCGATGGGCACTTGGATTGCTTTCATATCTTAGTGAATATAAATAACACTGAAAAATGAACATAGAAGTGCATATATTCTTTCAAATTAGAATTTTTGGGTTTCTTCAGATAAAGAAACCCAAAAGTGGAATTGCTGGATCATAGACAGATTCATTTTTAATTTTTTGAGGGACTGAATTCAACTTTTTAGATATTATCAACATTTATGAACTCCCCATAATCTTTGAATTCTTGTGCATAAATCCTTAAGTAGATACTCTTGTGAAGAAGAATTTTTAGATTTAACAGTTTCATACTTTTTTTTTATGTCTGTGAGCATACATTACTAATATGTAGAGCTCCCCCACTTTCTCCCAAGAATGAAACATTGGAGAGGAATTGTACTGGTTCAACTCCTTAGAAAAACAACTGGGTCCAATCAGGCTAGTGCAAGCAGTAAAAAAAAAAAAAAAAAAACCTATTTAAAAATAGAATGTAGTTCACATTACCATTAAAAAAATTAAAGAAACTATTTCAAGGTTAATTTTTCTAGAACAACTAGAGGACTGGTGCATGAAACTCGTGCACAAGTGGAGGGGGGTGTCCCTCAGCCCAGCCTGCACCATCTCCAATCTGAGATCCCTCAAAGGATGTCCAACTGAGAAGAAAGATGTCAGACATCCCTCACAATCCAGGACTGCTAGCTCCCAAATGCTCCCCTGCCTGCCTTCCTAATTGCCCTTAACTGCTTCTGCCTGCCAGCCTGATCACCTCCTAACCACTCCCTTGCCAGCCTGATTGATGCCTAACTGCCAACCTGTTTGCCTCTAACTGCCCGCCCCTGCAGGCCTGGTCACTCCCAACTTCCCTCTCCTGCTGGCCATCTTGTGGCAGCCATCTATGTCCACATGGGGGCAATCATTTTGACCACATGGAGGCAGCTATCTTGGGTGTTGGGAGTGATTGTCAATTTGCATATTATTCTTTTATTATACAGGACTATATAGGACTAGTGTCCTGGTGCACAAAATTTGTGCATGGGGGGTGGGGAGTGTCTCTCAGCCTGAATTCCATCCTCTCTAGTCTGAGACCCCTGTGGGATCGAGCCTAAACTAGCAATTGGACAACCCCCTTGCAATCTGGGACTGTTAGCTCCTAACCTCTCACCTGCCTGCCTGCTTGATCACCCCTAACCACTCTACCTGCTGGCCTGATTACCCCCATCTGCCCTCCCCTTCTGGCCTGATCATCCCCAACTGCCTTCCCCTCATGGCCTGATCACCTCTAACCACCTCTGCCTTGGCCCCGCCACAATGGCTTTGTCCGGAAGGACTTCTGGAAGGTCTCATTAGCATATGACCCTTTTATTAATATAGATAGGATATGACATAATGACATACTGCCATAACTATAACATATGTACCAGTATTACTCTATGAGAATACATACTTCATGTGATAGGAAGTCATCTAATACATTACATTGTATATGTTGTAAGTAGTAGAAAATACAGTATTCATAGCAATAATATACACCCAGTGACTTCCCTTCCTGATTTGGGAATGGTTCCCCAGTTCTTTGAATGTTTCCAGGGTCCTAATGTATTTTTTCTTTTGTAATTCAGTGTAACTTTACCTACTGTTTATTGCACATGATTTGAGGTTTTTAATTTCTAACCACCAAAGATTCAAAAGACTATTTTTTCCATGAAGTTTAACTTCATGTATGCATGTGTTTTTCTGGTAAACATCTGAATTATTCACATTGTCATAGATCCTGAACTCATAAGCATGTACCATGCACAGGCTGGCAGCAAGCCAGGAAGCCACTCTGCAAGCAAACAGATACTCTTTATAAGGAGAAAAGTCATAGCATAACATTTAATGTCCAACCTGAGTCACCTCACAATGTCATATATATTGACTTCTTAATTCATATAGTATCAGAAACTCAACCACTTGGTTGGTGATGGGGTTGACCTGGTTTCAGGAGGATTATTCTTAAAATAATTAAAGAAAGGAAGGTTCAATCTTTTCTTGCTTGCTTGCTCCTCCCCAGCACCTTCATCTTTCTTTTCATCCTCAGCTTCTCGGGCATCTTTTCCTTCACCTTCACCTCCTTTTTCTTCCTCCTTTGCATCCTCAAATTTTTCCTTGGCACCTTCTTCCTCTTCCTCTCCTTCCTCTTCATCAGTCACTTCCTTTTCCTCCTCCTCTTCAGGTTCTCCTTC